AGAAATACAAATACCAAGTGATTTTATCTCCCATGTGGAATATAAAGAAACAATCAAAAAAGGAACTGACAAAACTATATTAGGACCCTAGCAATCTGACTGCTGAGGCAACCAGAGAGGGAGGGTAGGTGTAAGCAACATAGGGAGAGGGGGCCCATTGGACTGTGGGTGGAGGATTATTGGTGCTTTAGTGATGGGCATGGTATGGTAGCATACATCTGAAGAAGTGTGAATTTATCCTCTAAAACATACACAATACATTTGAGCAATAGTGAGTTCTTGGTTATGGTTACTGAAAGGAAGAGATTCTCTCAATTAGTCAGTTCACCGCAGCACAAGTGTGGGATGGATTGCCTATTTTGAAAACTAGACTTTAGAGGGGCTTTCACTAAGAAGCCCATTTGGTTGGGCCAAAAAATTATCTCCAGAAAGAAATTAGGCATCTAACACAGACACAAATTAAGCAATTATATATGTATATATGTGTGTGTGTATACATATATATAATTTTTCTATTATCAATTAAATAGATATCATAAAGAACCAGTACAATTCAAAACAATAGAACAAAATTTAACAACATAAACATTTGATATCTTTATCTCTAATCCTTATTATTATTATTTGCAGGTTAAACTAAACTTTATTTCCAGGCCTGTAGATTCTTTTAACTTTCCCTGAACATATGTTGAATATAGAGTCCTTCTGAAACCTGCCAATTCTTCTGGATCTGTCTACCCTGTTTCATAGTAAAAGATCTTTTGACTTTTCCTAGGAAGTAGTTTTCACTCTGCTATGTGCAAGGGATAGAAATTTGCTACCTAAGGCTGTTTGGTTTAATTAAAGAGCTTCCCCTTATGTGCACGCTCAGCCTTCTAGTTGACCAGAAGGGGTGTGTGTGTGTGTGTGTGTGTGTGTGTGTGTGTGTGTGTGTTGAGAGAGAGAGAGAGAGAGAGAGAGAGAGAGAGATTCCTTTGGATTGTACCTCATCACAAAGTAAAAGCAGGAAGAGAGCACTCATATTTTAACAATGTGAAATTTGTATCACTCTCATTTTTTCTGTGAAAGGAGTAATTTCCTCTTGAGTTAAAAAAAAAAAAGAAAAAGAAGAAAACAGAAAAAGATTTTTCCTCAAAAGTAATCTCCAGCCAGTAGGTTAAGTAACGCTTTTATTTTAAAGCAATGGCATTTTGCTCAGCCTCTGAAATGGTTTTCAGCTATTATAAACTGCTTTGACAAGTAAATTTCTTAGAACAACTTCCTTTTAGAAACTTGCATCTCTACTAGATGAGGCATTTTTAAAGATATGGTTCAAGTAGAAAACCTTTGTTTTTAAAAGACAGCTATAAAATGCTCTCACCACATTTTGAACGATAGTAATCCTGGCTACAGAATTCAACTTCCAACAGTCACTGTCTTCCTCCAATTCTCCGCATACTACCTTTATTGGGATCAATCATGAATTAAGTGAGATTTAAATAAATAAAAGGAGAAATGGGTTGAGTGTTAATATTTTTTCCTATATCATATGTTACTATTTCATTCTAGGTTAAATTCAGCTCCTAAGAACAGCTTTGGGATACAATGTTTGTGATGAATATACGAGGAAATTAGGTACCATTGATTTTCATTTCTGGTTTAAAAAAACTCATTTTAGAACTAACCCCCCCCCAATGTAACTGATATATCATGCTTTCTCTATTTAAAAATGCATGTTACAAAATAAGGTATTTTAGTGGAGAAACAAACAGGACTGAAAAGTCTTCACTGAAGACTGCCTCCCTTGAAATTTCATAGGCTATTCCTTTTTCCTTTTCCCCCCATTCACTTACTTAATATATTTATAGAGCAGGTACTATACGCCAGGCAAAGTTTTTAGAGACTGCACAAAAATCAAGAACAAAAGAGACCAGATTTCCTTCTTCTTGGAACTTAAAAGTCAGCTGGGGAGACAGACATTCAATAAATTAATTTTTAAAAATAGCTGTAATGGAACTAACTATACACCCCCAAATAGTGAACCCTAATGTAAACTAGGGACTTTAGTTAATAATGATGTATCAAATATTATAACACCAATAAAATAATGTATCATCAATTGTTACAAATGGCCACTTAATCCAGGATATTAATAATGGAGGAAACTGGTTTGGTGGTATACGGGAACTCTGTGCTTTCTGACCATTTTTTCTGTTAACTTCTCTAAAAAGTGAAGTCTCCTAATTAAAGATAATCACTTTAAAGGAAAGAAATAGGATGCTATTAATAGTGGGATGACATAATTTGGTTTGGGGAGTGAGTAAATACCTTTCTAGAGAAATGCTGTAAGCTCAGAGCTAGCAAATAAGGAGAAGCCAGCTAAGAAGGAAATGCATTCTGGACCTCCCCTGGTGGGGCAGCGGTGGAGTGCTGGGCTGCGAAGCTGCCGGCTGCAAATGCCTGCAGCCTCTGCAGCGCCGGTTTGATCCCCAGCCTCCGGCGAGGAGGGTCGCACATGGTGCGCAGACCTCTCCTGCGGCGGCTGCTCCCCTCAGCAGTGTATTTTGTCCATATGCCTGTTCTGTTCCCGCTCTGGCTCTGGTGAATTCTCTCACCCTCCCGCGCTTCTGACTGTACCCAGTGCTTGTATAAATAAATAAATAAATCTTTTTTTTAAAAAAAAAAAAGAAGAAGAAGAAGGAATTGCATTCTTAGTAAAGCACAGCCATATCACTTGAACTACCTTTGGAAATATTCTGATTTCTCTGTGGAGGACGGATGGGTTTTGGGAGTGAGCTGGAGGAGCAAGAGTACAAAGAAGGAAGGCACTTAGAATGGACTACAGCTTTTGCTACCCACTCAAAGTTCTAGAAGAGCCAAGTGACAGTAGGATGTTTCCTTCCTCAGCTGATGCTAGAAACCTTTAGCTCTCCATGGACTGGGTGCTAGGAAAAAAGGAAAATGTCAGTGGCAGGAAAATGGGATTCCCAGATCTCAATTCCTAAGACAGTTTAGTGACTCAATGGGATTTATAGAATGAGGAATGATCTTGTGTGTGTGCATTAAAGCACAACCACATGAGAATTAGAAGTACTAACTACTCAGGCGTAACAACAGATTTTCATAAAAGTCTGTCTTAGGCTGAACTTGTAATAATTATCTTTAATTTTACTATTGAATTAATGGAATTCAGTTTTTTGTTTCTTCTAAGACTATATGTTCGACAAAGAGGACACTTAATAAAAATCCATTTAGGAAGAATTAGAGTATAGGGATAGTAACTTCCCAAAGGAAAAACCTAGTGGTTAAGAGATGTGTCTGCCAGTGATAGATTTCTATTGATTCTGGAACGGTTATAAGTATTATAGAAGCTTAAATAGTTCAGTTTTATTTCCATTAAAAATAAGCAGCTCTGCAATTACGTAACTTCATCATTCGTAAGCCTGTGTATGTGCACTCAAGATTTGCAAATTGTTCACTTTTCATAAATTTATTTTACTGTAGAAAATTTGTAATGATAGGTAAGACTTAATAACATGTTGATAAACCATTGACAAATGATCATGCGTTTGGTAACACTTAGCTAATAGTGAATCAAAATGGTTAATATCTTTCTAGTTAGATATTTTTCCTATACTTGGAAACACAAACAGTAAGTCAAGAATCCTCCATTTGAGGAGACCTATTGTTTATTTTAGGAAAAGGACATGCAGCATCAATGTAATTTTAAGTGGCTCAGTAATGAATATGGGATGAAGGGATAAAATAAAGTTTTCTACTCTGATGTCTCCATTAAGAAGCTCCTCTTTGTGTAAAATACTCCACGGCAAAGTTGCTTCTATTTAAAGTAGTGAGTTTGATCTTGGCTTTGATCTAAAGCTTTTGATCTTGAAAGAAGGATGGAGTAGCAATAAAGAGAGGGCAAGACAGATTTTCTTTAAAGAAATGCGATAAAGTTGAAGGGATGGTCAAGATCAGCAAACACAACTGCGACCCGACTCTTCTCCCGAAGTGAGCACCCTCAGTTTGTTTCAGCCAACTTCTGATGTGGCTGGGACAGAAGACTTTGGGGGTTCAGCGGAAAAACTTGGAGGTAGCTCACACTTTGAAAACTAAGTAGAAACTTTCCCCTTAATAAGAGGACAGATGGCCTTCTTTAATCAGTTCTCCGCCGGCGGCTCCGGGGCTCGGTAAGCTGGAGAGCGCAGGGCCGGCTGCACCTTGGCGGCGCGCGGACTCCGACGGCGCGCGGGGACCGCGCGGGGTTTCCCTTTTCCGCGCTCCCGGCTTGTCCCGGGAGAGGTGACCCGCCCCGGGGTTCGGAGGGACCACCGAATAGGTGCGCTTCGTGGCGTTTCGTTTATTAGCAGAGAAAAGTGCTTTAGGAAAGTTCCGTTCCCCCGGCAAGCCCTCTAGACACGTAGGTGGCAGACGCGCGGCGCGGCTTCGGGTGGGCCGTGGGGGTGGCGATGCGCCCCAGGCTTTGCCCTTTCGCCCGCGGGCGGCTCGGAGACGGCCCCGCGGCCAGGTGACCCTTTCGCGGGGACCCAGGGGTGCGCGGGCGGAGGCTAGAAAGGTAAGGCGTGTGCGCCGGGACCGAAGTCCGCTTGTTGCGGGGCGCGGGCGCACGGACGCGGCTGGGACCCGGGAGGAAAGGAGGTTTGTCCGGAGAACAATAAAGTAGCCGGCGCGGGCGGGGGGAGGCGCCCTGCGGGCCGGCGCGGCGGGGAGGCGCCCTGCGGCCGGCGCGGGGGGGAGGGCGCCCTGCGGGCCGGCGCGCCGCGTGTACCTTTAAGGCAGGCCCCGCCCCCCCGCGCCGGCCCCGCCCGCGCGGCGCCCGAGGTGGTGCGGGCCGGGGGCGCCCGCGGCTCCGCGCGGACCAGGACGGCTGGCGGCGCGGGGTGCGGGCTCCCGCGCCCTCCCTCACCTGCCGCGGGCGAGGTCCGGGGTCGGCGAGCGAGGGGGGGGGGGAAGGCGGGGCGGCGCCCGGGCTAAACTTGACTCTGTCCCTGTCCCCGCAGCCGCTGCGGAGCGAGCGCCAGGCCCGGGCGGAGTGCGGGCTCGCGCGGCAAGTGCGCGCCGAGGTGAGTGCGCGGGTCCCTGCGCGCCCCTCTCCCGAGCGGCGGGGGCCGCGCCGCCTTCGCGGAGCCCCGGAGGCTGCTGGGCGCCGGCGCGCGGCGGTGCGGGCGGAGGGGGCCCTGGCGCGGGGGCCCTGGCGCGGGGTCGGCCCGCTCAGCCGGGGGCCGCGGGGAGCGGCCGGCGGAGGTCACGGCCCCGGAGGCCCCCGGCGTGGAGGCGGCCGGGCGAGCCTGGAAAACCGCGGGTGGCTGCCCCAGGTGGAGCCGGGGAAGGTGGCTTCGCGAATCTGTCGACCCTCTGCTTTCTCCCGGGGAGACCCGGCGTCCTGTTTCACATGCTGTGTGGTGTTTCAACTTCAGGTCGCGAAATGGATTCAGGTGAACCGGAGACCCCGAAAACGGAAACGAAAGGAAACGGAAGAAGTGTTTGAAAAGGTAGGGGTCCCCGAAAAGGAGCACTGAGTAGAGTTCTTGATAAATCTTTCCGCCTTCCTCAGAGGTCACAACAATGGAGTAGCCTATTTTTAAAAAGTTTTTATCAAATTTACAGTAAGCCGTAAATTTACGTGGATAGTTCTGTAAAAATATTGGTTGAGAATCCTAATGATCATCAACATACGATGTTCTCCTAAAATAAAGTAAGAATGACCCAGGATTTGTTTCATGCTTATTAAGTAGAGCAGTAAAGCCCAACTAGGTCTATTATTGTTATTAAATCGGTAGGCTTTATGATGGCAGTGTTAAGGTACCTCTAAAAAAACCGGGGAGGGGTGGGGGTTGCCTGTGAATAGATCGCCCACTGTACCAGGTTTCTGTTTTGGACTGTGGTAGATACAGTAGCATCCACACTCATTTAGACTTTAGTCATCTCAGAAATGTAGAGGGAAGATGAAAGAAGCGGATTAGTTTGAGACACTAGGAGGGAATGAAACTGTAAAGCAGTTTTCTAAATTTAGAATTATAATATGTTGCTTCGAAGAAGTTTGGACTATCTCTTTCCCCCTGAATTGTATTCAGTTAAGACTTGATATGTCATTGTATTCTATATTATGAACTAAGGTAAGTAGTCTTTTGTTTTCTAAGTGATTTTTATTGATACCTAAAAATGAATTTTTATGAATGTTAACAGCAGATATGATTTTTTGTTGTTTTGATTAGGCAAAATGATGATTTTGCTTAATTATTTTACTGGTCTTTATCCTGGATAGTACTAACAGATTAAAATAGCGTTGTGTTGTTTTTCTGCTGCTAGAATGTATCATGAATCACTCCTGATTCTGAAGCCAAATTCTTGCTGATAGCATTGCTGCCAACTTCGGGGATGTGTTGCCTTAGTATGGGCATTGCAGCGTCTGAGAATGTGCACAAAGCACATCATAATTAAGGTGATACCAATTTCAGAGTGCATTTAAGGATACCAAAGACGGCTTCTGAGAGAATTGTAAAAAGAACTGGCCTAGAATATAGCGAGACATTTATATGGAGACATTCAGTATGCGAAAAGTGGATACCCAGCTCTTACCTTTTTTAGTAGAGGCACTTCAGTTAAACACTAATAGGACAAGTTGTCATTTTGAACAGATTTGAGTTTTTCTAACATTCCTCAGTAGGGTATGGTTTGTGGTGTTTGCTTCACTTTCTGGTGTTAGGGTCTAGGTCTAGGTGTTTTTAAAAAATGTTTGTGCGGTTACGGAAAAGATCATGAAATGTCCAAACAAGGATAAGGAATTATGGCTTGCTCAGTATTCAAAACAGTTATTTTCTACCTACTTTTTAAACCAAAAGATTACCCACATACATGCTGTATCCTGCATAAATGAGGGGAAAACTATTTGTGGATTACTTGGTACTGTCACTTCCCAAATCTGAACCTGAAGTAACCACATTCTGCAACGCCTGAAAAAGAGAGGAGCTGGGGGGAACTGAGGATTTTGCTTCCCAAGGAAATGGAGTTCTTTGCTGAGCTTTTCTCTTTATTAGAGGCGATTGTGTTAAAACTTATGGGGAGGACACAAGTTTGACTTCTTAGAAAATGTGGGCAGCAGTTTTAAAGAGGACAGGAAAAGCAGGTTGGGACCAAGGAGTGAAGCTTAAAGCTTACTAGCTTTGAGGATGGAGGTGGGAAGGGTGCAAAGATGTAAAATTTCAGTAGTTGTATTAGGCAGTATTACCAGTGTCTCCAGCATTTCCTCCTGACTGTTTTTGCATCTGCCCTGCCTAGGAGAGGGTTTAGAGCTCACTTAGGCTAAACCTGTGACATTTTCAAGGGCAAGGTGAAAGAGAATGAGATCAAAGACCAAGGGCAGGAGAACAAATTCTGAACAAATTCTGAGGTACGTAAACTCTCCTCAGCTGGTAACCAAGGGGTGTCCTCTGATTGCCCAAGTGGTTATTCCGAAATACAGATCGAATTCTGTGTGGACATGAGTATTCAAACAGAAGTCATGTGTTAACCTTTTGCTAGGATTTGAACCTGTTAATAGTAGGAATCTAGGTACTGATCTTACTGTTGCTTGTTTAATGTCAGCCATGCCACAAGTATAAGCAAATAAGTCAATTTTCCTTTTTTTTATACATACGCTATATCTTTCTAGAACTTTAAAATCATGGCATTTCTCCTTTTATTCACATATTACCATAAAATAAGAAAATCTGTTTTAGTCATTTCTAGTAGGGGTGCATTTCAACTCTAACGTTGCCTTTATGTGCCTGCTTTGTTTTTTGTGTCTGTATTTCTTCCCCACGCTGCCCTTTCCTTCATGTCCTAGGTTTCCTTCTGCCTCTTCAGACCTTGCCAGGATTCAGCTAACAGAGTGAACTTGGTTAACTAGTCTGTATTTAACTATACTAGGGTCATAACAATTTTCCTCAAATTTTTACTGACTTATGGGAGGTGAAGCCTTCCAACCTGCTTGAGGAAGGCAAACAATAGTGATGTAGGACTCGCGTCTGGAATCAGGCCCTGGGAAAGAAATTATACAGAAAGAATGTCATCGTCTAGGAGATAGATATGTTTCCCTCTTGAAGTGGTGCGCGTAGCTTGATGTAACTTGAAATACTGGTTGAGTATTTCAGTTGAACTCAGGAGGGAAAGCAAAACAGACTTACCCTATGCTCTGCAATGAGTTAAAATAATGAATAATGAAATAAAGTAAACTGGACACATAAGAGATGCCACTGGAGGAGGATTGCTGCCTCCCACCCACCCACCAGGGAGCACTGCTACAGGTCTATGCTGTCTTACAGGTTTCCATTTCTTACCCTTTTGAAGGCACATCATTCTCTCTGCGCATAGGCTTCTTCTATCTTTTCTGACATTTTTAAAGTTTCATAATTTAGCCCCTTTTCACTCAGTAGTATAACTGAATTCTTTTACACTGTTTTTTGTTTTCATTTTATTTTATTTATATTTTTTTAAAGATTTATTCATTTATGCATACAGGAACTGGGGTACAGGCCAGAGGTGTGGGGGGTGAGAGGATTCACCAGAGAGAGAGTAGGAAACAGAACAGGCAGACGGACTGAAATACACTGCTGAGGGGAGCAACGGGTGAGACAGGAGAGGTCTGCTGCGCCAAGTGGGTAGCTGCCTGGCCAGGGATCAAACTTGCACTGCGGTGGCTGCGGATAGCTTCATAGGTTGCGTTTCAACCCCTTGAGCCACCAGGGAGGCCCCTGTTTTCATTTTAAATTGCAAGACTCACCTCTCCTGCTTCTGGTCCCCAGGTATTTACTCCTTAGAGTTTCATATTCTGACTTTTTCATTCTTTGAGTTCCTTTCATTTATTTATCTTGAATAATTTGTATAACAAAAAGGCAGGGGGAACATGTACAACTACACAAAGAGCAGTTAGGATGGATAATTCAGCCTATGCTGCAAGGGGCAGGCCATACATTGGTGACTGGAGCAGCGAATTGTGTAATGTACATTTATTGTAATAACATTAATAGATCTTAGTAAATGGCTATTGATTTTGGAACAAGAACAATCTTTTTCTCCCCTGCTTTATCTTTGATTCAAAGATAAATGATCCACATCTTTGAAAGACTAAGGAATAATATGTTTTTATAAACATACCACTTTATAAGGATTAGAATATGCTATAGAATAATTTATGAAATGATATATTTGAAGAAAATATATGAATAGTGAATGATTTTTTTAGAGGAAGAAAATTTCAATTTTCAGATTCTAAAGAAACTCCCTGCCAACTTTCATGCATATTTGATAATATACAAGACCTAATTTTAAAATACTTATTTCTGATCATCAGCAGGTAATATGTGATGATGTCAAAAGTAGTCATTGGCATACTTTCAAAACATGGAAAAATCAACAATTCTAAGGTCGGCCTTTATTATTAACAAGTGATCTTTTATGTGTGTTGGTTTGTTTCTAGGCAAGTGGTGTTGGCAGAGGTGAGGTTCTCTGGCCTCTGTTATGATTAGTCATAAGGAACAACTAGGTGCAAATGATTTCCAATAAAAGCACCCTTTAAAGCAACAATTTTTTTTCCTGCTAGTGCCTGAAAAGCTATATTTTTGAGCATGACATTGTTTAAAAATTGAAATTTTCCTTGATGTTTTCCTTGACATATCAAGTAAAAGAAAATCTAAAAAGGTGATTGTGAAAATGTGAACTTTATAATATTTAATGGTCATTTTAGATGATAAATTCTATTTTCTGAGTCTTTGAGGAAAAAAGACTGAAACTATTTTGTTTGTGATAATATCCTTCTGAAATTCTAGAGTATTTTGTCTTTACTTTTATATTATTTGTTCTTTCCGCACACTTGATACTGAACTGCAATCCGTGGTAATTTTGGTATGAATAACAACTCACAGAAGATTTTTTCAAATTGTATATAAACCCAACTTGGTTTGTGCATTTTACATTTGCTGTTCCTTTTAAAATTTTATACCTTCTAAAAGAATGATTTTATTATAATTCTAATGTTGAAGTATTCATTGCGACAAAGGTAGGTGCAAATTTTTAACTACTTAACAAAGTGCTTTACTGCCTTTGTCTTTTGTGACAAAGGCCTGTTTTATTTTTGGCTTATGATTTCTGGAAAACAATATGTAAGGCTAATAAAAATTATCTGACTCTTTCCTGGACCCATAGCAGCAGACAACTGTTATGCTCAACTCTGGAACCATCAAGGTATAAAGCTTGGCAAAATGGAAGTGCTGAACCAAGGTGCCTTCATTTTATAGGAACTACCCTGCATTTAGCAAAGTGTTAGGAATGGGCAGCCGCCTCTCTGCCTCTCTTAGGCAACTGAGGCAATGATCCTGTTGAGTGGTTTCCCAGGCATTGGTGCCCTTGCTTCTTTTCGAAAAGTGCTCTGCCCTGTGAGAATTCATAACTAGTCCACATTTATATAGCTGTATTCTTTTACAATAGCTTCATTGATACTTGATCTCCAAAGAAA